ATATAGGATTTAATTAAGCACACTTTAGATATATCGAGAGATAATCTAATGCAAATTCTAGACTGTTCATGGCCTGTTCAAAAATTAATTGGATAATTAACGCAAATTCTAAATTAAAACCTGAAACTCTAGACTCACAATTATTGTTTTTTCAACCACTCTTTTATTTGATTTGATAACTTATTTTGCTTATTACTTAGTGGTTTAATATCTTAAATTCAACTTTTTCAATTTATTATAATAATTAAAATAGAAAATTAACTCGCCTTTGTGAGTTTGATCCCTAGAATACTTCAAGTGATTTTTATTACTACAATCAACCCTGTATACTTGCAAGAATTGTTGGTCACTATTTTCTATGTTGGTCATGAATTTTTTGGCTCATTGGCAGCAAATGCATCACGAGTATCAGTGCTTCTGTCCATCTTTTCCTAGGCAACTTTTTTTTTGTTGCGTTAGCTTTTTCAGAATTGCTTAATTTACTGTTTGCAGATTTGCTTTAATTATTAGATCAATTGCCTTAACTGTTTTTCTTTAAACCTGAAAATTTTATAGATTTTATATAGTATTGATGTCTTTCATCTTGCATTTTGATGTATGATATGAATGATTTGTCAAGCTTTGACTTTTTCCATTACAAAGAAATGGAAAATAGGGAAATAACTTAACCCTGCTGGAGTAGTATTAACCTTACTGGGGAAAAAGCCAATTTACATAACCTTGCTTACCGCTGCATATATTTTGGCTTTTGGGTTGGAGTAAGTCATTAGGATATAAAGACATCCTTTGTGTAGAAGTTTTTGTTTCAATTTTAGGTTTTAAGATCTTCCTCGCCTATTTGGTTGCGTGATCGTTTTATTTCCTTTGTCACCTTATCTATCCACTGGTATTTTATGTAACTTGCATAGTTGCATTATCAAATTGTGGAAAAGTTTACTTGCATGCTATCTCCAAGGATATAGCACATCCAATACTTTCACTTTGGTGAGAACGTAAGAATCTTTGGATCTCTCTTTTTGAAAATTAATGTATCCAAAAAAAATAAAAGGTTCCCTATCTGTAGGATGGGTTGAAATATACAAGGGGTAACCATTTTGTGTTAAACCACTAGTAATCACAAGTGTAGAAGCTTGCTGAATTTGTTCTTTCCTTGTTATCATTATTCAAGTCTCCTATTTTTTACTTGGTGTTATGATAATAAACTAACTCTGATGGATTATATATTAAATTTTAGTTAAAGCATTAAACCCCCTGAACTTTACTCTCAGTTGTATTTTACCCCCCTCAACTCAATAAATATGTACTTTGGCCCCCTACTTTATATTTTAGGATAAAAGTACCCCTTCCATATTAATTATTATTTTATTTCTTTTTTCTTCTTTTTTGCCCTTTTTCGGCTTGTCCCCTTTCTTTATATTTAAATTTTTTCCCTTCTCTCATGTGATCAACCACTTTTTTTAGTCTTTTATTTGCTATTATTATTTATATATTAACTTTAATCTTCTTAAACTTATTCTTTATTTATTTCTAGCTTTTTTAACTTTTGTTATTGGAAGTAATAATGATCGTAAAGTTTATGGTATAACAAAGTTACTCATGGATGAGAGAAACTTTTTGTTATTTGGTTGGGTCAAAAAATGTATCTATGGAACTCATGGAAGTTCAAATCCGTGTTATGAGATTCTGTGAAATTGATTTTATTGTTTCACCTATTTATTCTGAATTCCTGGACTATAAACAAAAGTCAAAGTTTCTCCCGTCAAACAAATTGTAAACACAAATTTTATAGTTTGAAATCTTCAACGATTGCAACAATTTATTTTTCAAAAAAGAAAAATTATCGTTACAGGACAATAACTAGGCAACACTAAAAGTTCACAATGCAAGGTGCAACATTTGTAACTTTATGGTAATACCCATGAGTTGGTGACAAGGATGGCAATGGGACGGGGTTGGGGTGGGGGAGGGCACCCCACTGCCTACTAATTCCCCCCGCCCCCCGTCCCTACCCCATCCTGCTTTCCCCGCTGGACTATTAAAAATTTGTTATATAATTTTATTATAGTTAAATTTTAGCAAATAATCAAGTACTAAAATATCAACATATCACCAAGTTATTATTCATTGTAATTTCATAATTGAAACTTATAAAAGTAATCAAATAAAAGTTATTTGAATACAATCCAACATGATGAAATAAATACAACTAAACTAGTCAAGTTTTCACTTTTTGCACATATACAATCACTAATTCATTATTGTGTTTGTGCTTTTTTTTTTGAGAAAAAAGTGTTATTGTATTAAGTGTAATTAGAAATTTTGTATAAATGTATTAGTAAATTTAGTATAACTAAATAATAATTTCTATTAATAGACATATAATTATTAGTATAATTGATAATATCAATTATAATACATATAGTAATATACATTATATAATACATATAACTAATAATATCATTATCATAAGTTTGTAACTAATTAAATTAAATATTATTTATATAATTATATACATAAATATTTATTTTTTTTAGCGGGTGGTGGGGCGGGGGAAAAATTCCCCTCCCCGCGCCCCAACCCCTGCCCTATTAACCCCCCGCAGGGCGGGTGCCGCATTGCCATCCCTAGTTGGTGAGTACCTATTTGGAAGGCTGCAATTTCTTAAGTGGGCAATAAACCCCTCCTAGTCCTAGTACTAAATGCTAACAAAATGAAGTGAAAATCATTCAAAACGTTCCTCACATTTTGTAAAATGACTTTTTTATCCCTTACTTTTAAAAATGTACTTTATGTCTCTTACAAATTCACATTGGTCAAATTTGATTCCTATTTAGGTTTCTGACTAGTTTTTTATCGGAATTCACCAGGTGCCTTGCACGTGATCATTTTTTAAGGGCAAAATTGTCAAATCAAAATTTACATAATTCGATCCATAGTCCCTCACATTTCATAAAATAATCTTTTTTGTCCCTCGCATTTCACAAAATGAATTTTTTCATCCTTCATATTTTACAAAATAAATTTTTTCATCCCTCGTTGATTATGTGTACGAATAACTTTTTTTAAAACTCATATATATATATATATATATATATATATATATATATATATCTCTATTTGATTTCATCTGAATAATATGAATAACATGTAATATATTTCTATTTGATTTTGTTTGAACGTATTGTTTAGGTAAAATTAAATAGATATATGCAGGAGTTTTAAAAATATTATTAGTTTTTCACTCATATTCATTTTCTTTTACTCGAAAATTGAAAATAAAGAAGACATTTAATCCTAAACATTATCAAGTGTTTATATCGAATTAAATTTGGACAGAAAAAAAACAAAGGAAAAGTATGACAAAAACAAGTAAGTCAGTGACACTTCAAATTTTAAGACAATTACAAGGTAAGAAATTCAACTACTGGTCTTAAAGGTGGCGAGTAAAAACTTCATATTTAAACTGCAATTTGTTAACATGACTATAGATTTCGAATTGGGACCAATTAATTAGATAGTCTTATTACACAACTCAATAAATGAATTATTACCAAAAGAGAAATGTTACAAATATTGAATAGATTCACGTGGTAAAATCAAATATATATATATATGGGTTTAAAACACAATTTTTAGATTTAAACCCATGTATATATCTATTGAATAGCATGTATATAATTACAATTAGTCTGTTTAGGTGAAATCAAATAAAGATATATTACATGCTATTCGTATTGTTCAGGTGAAATCAAATAAATATATACATGAATTTTAAAAAAAAATCATTTATACACATGGTCAATGAGGGATGAAAAAATTCATTTTGTCAAATATGAGGGATTAAAAATTTTATTTTATAAAATATGAAGGACGAAACAATTCATTTTGTGAAATGTAAGGGACAACAGATCGAATTATATAAATTTTAATTTGACAATTTTACCCTTAAAAAATAATCACATGTTAGGCACGTGATGAATTCAGGCAAAAAACTAGTCAGAAACCTAGATAGGGACCAAATTTGATTAATGTAAATTTGTAAGGGATATAAAAATACACTTTTAAAAGTAAGGGACGAAAAATATCATTTTACAAAATGTGAGGGACGTTTTGAAGGATTTTTCCCAAAATGAAACAACTATTATCAACAGTTATATCAATTTGTTCATAAGTTCATATGCCCAAAAACCAACTGTAAGTAATACCTCTGTCCCAATTTTAGGGACGTTTGTTGAGAGTGTAACTTCTTATGTACAGCGAGATCATTATTGACAACCAAGTCTTTACTTCCAAATTTACCCTATTACAAGTACGACAATCAGCTGAAATCTGGTTTTTCACACAGTAATGATTTCTTCTTTTTTTTTCCGGTAACGATAACATTTGTATAATTTAATCTATCCTATTCTATAGGGAGAGAGAGTTTAAAGTGGATGTGTAAGGGAGTAGCAGATATACAGATCTAACTAAACTAAATGGATATTCTAACACCTTTTAAAAAAAAAAATTTAGTGCATGTGAAATTTGAATTCCTGACCCTACGGTTCAAAGAGGACTAACTTAGTCCTTTTTTGGTGATAGTACGATTTCATGGGTACCATCTCAACCAAATGCATCCTTTGTATGTTAGAAACATGCACCATCATTGGCCGTGTAAAGTGGGAGTTGTCTCCCACAGTACTCAAACTTCTCTAAATGGATAATAATTAGTGAGTCCTACTAAAGACATACACTACGAGGGCAAGCGCGGAATGTTAGAAGGAAAATACTGTAGTATGACTCTAATTTTGAGACAATAAAAAAAAGGGGAAAATATGACACTAAAGATGAACTAAAGAAATACAAAAGATATGTTTTATTAATAAAGTTCTTTTGACTAAATGCAAGTACCTCAAGAAGCATACAGCTCCAAGCATACATCTTTATTTGTTGACAAAGTGAAGCACTTAGACGGTTAGACCTGTGATCCACAGGTCCCACATTCAACCTTATTTATAAGCCTAGATATTTAGAGTACCAGTGCCAACTAGTTCTTTTCCAGTTTCCCTCCTCCAAAAGCCGTCGATCCTGTTTAATGTGGAGATAAAACTTGATAATAATATGACCTCCTTGGTTACTTAGTGCCTGAAGGTTAGCATACCCTGTCGCATACCTAAACAGTTTGGTCCCTCCTACAATTGCAAGTTCTTGAACAGGTGTCGGTTGGTTAAGCCCTTTTACTTCCACAGTGCTACCGTTGTACTTTCCGGTAGTGAACAGCATGGAGGACAAACCCTCTGCGTTGGTGCCATTAAGGGATACGATTCCAGCGATGCCTTGTATGCGACCAACTTCTCGGGAATGGGCTAAAATGCCTTCTGTTACGAGATTATCAGATATAAATACAGTTCCAAACTGGTCAAAGCCCCAGGGTGTGCCATTTCGACCTGCAACCGGGACGATACTAGTATCTGGTCCACTTCGATATTCATGAATGTAAAGTGTGAACTCTGTTTTGCGTATGGTTGGCTCTGCCGAACTTGCTACTAAGAGCATCATGAGAATTTGGAGTGATACCGTAGCATAACTCTTTGCCATTGATAGAGAAAACAAAACGAACCAAAGAAGAAGAATGAAAGGATAGAAGGAAAGAAGTTAGTGCGGTTTGAAGTACAAGCTGATGAGGACTATTTATAGGCCCACATGTTTGCTGTCTGGTTTCTTTTACCATTTTTACCCTTTGTCTCTCGCTTTCTTCACTGAGTTTTTTTTTTTTCCCTCTTGACTGAGTTAATCAAACTATTCTTCTTCAAGTTGGCTACTAATAACGAAATTTCCACTGATTTTTCATGCATGTGGATCGATATGGGCACGCTGACTTTGCTTTCTCTTTAGTGAAAATCTTTTCTTGATCCATGGGATGGTGGCTCTTTTGCATTGAGTTTTACAGCACCATGAATCCTATCTTTTCTTGCCAGCGGAGACCAACACCATCAAATCCTTGTCAATTTGCAAATGAAAGGTTTCCAACTTAAGATAACCAGCAGGCTCAGAAATTTTCTTTTAAAAAAAAGGGCTGCCGTAACTTTTACCCAATAATTAAAAAAAAAAAAAAAAGTGGCTGCCCCAGGAATTTTTAAAAATAAATAAAAACATTGTTGCCTACCTGTGTCGGCACGGCAAGTATAGATTTAGAGATAGATTTTGTCAGTGCCACATTTGCCAAATATTTTTATTTTCAGGTAATATTCTAAGAAATTAGTCCTTAGATTCATGAATTTCGCTATAAAATTCAAGAAAGACGCCACTTAAGCCAAGCCAACCATTGGATCCATCACCACCGCCCCATGTTACTAGCTCATTTCTTCCTCTATCTCCTTTCTCTTTCTTCTATTTTTTTTTTTTTTGCTTTATTTTTTTGTTTTGTGTTTTCCATCTCTTATTTCTTCTGCATGTTGCAACAAAGAGCAAGACGATGGCCTGGGTTTTAATCGGGTTGGGTGGAGTCCTAGTATAGTCTAATGCTTCGACTGTGTTTGACTGTATTTTGCCAGTGTTAGGGTTGGAAGATTTTGTCTGGATTAGAACTGATGGAGCCAAATCAGACTCCAAATTCGGAGTTTGATCTAGTTAAGTGAAAAGTTTTGAATCAAAACTCTCTATTTCCAATCACTCCTATTTTATCATTCAATTCAATTTTTCCCCACTCTAATTGAAACGCCATTGAATTGTAATCTATACGGATGAGTTTCGCCATTATGAGCTGTAATCATATAAAAATAAATAAATAATACATGTTTCAGAGAAGTGTATAAAAATTGGATTAGGTGCCATCTATATTTTATTATTATTAATATAATAGCGTATATCCTTGGAAATACAATGAGACCAAATATTTGTAATCCTACTAATAGTTAGAAGAAGCTAGCAGAACTGGCTAACTCTTAAATCTTTCGCACGCACTTTTCGTTCCCAAAAAAAAAAAAGAGAAAATAATACACACATTAATTAATGGTTTCCTAAATTCGTACTAAGCGGTATCTTTTGTTTAAGAATGTATTCAACCATCTTGTATTAATGGTTAGTAATCACCCAACTATTTTTGAGTTATTAATAATATTTTTCATCGAGTTGTAATTTGTGTTTATTGACCCCATCATTATAGGTTGAAGGAAAAACAAAAAAAATTGTTTGAGAAAAAGGTGTTAATATTAGATTAGTTGGGCTTACATTGCTATTCATTAGATTTTTTATAACGTTAATCTTATTGCATTGTTTTCCTTGAACAGTTTGAAAAGATATACAAAGGAAGTTTATGCTTCACAAAATAGTACTCATTTCATCTCATTAAAAAGTATCATACTTTTTATTTTAATTTGTCCCAAAATGTTTATCATTAGGCCTGTCAACGGGTCGGGTCTAGACCCGGATCCGGACCGGATCCGTGAAATTATTGCGGGTATGGGTAGGGATTTAATTCCGGATCCGGATCCGTTTTGTCAAACAAAAAACGGGTCGGATACGGAATATAGTATTCCGACCCGTATTAAACCCGGATCCGGATATAAATGAATTAATAATTTAAAAAATATATATTTATCAATATAATTTGATTAGGGTGATGTATTTTAATAAAGTTAATTTTGATTTCTTTTCTTATTTGATTTTTTCTTTGCATTAGTTAGAAATTAGTTTACAAATATATTTTTTTCTCATTTTTATTAGAAATTATAAAATTTGGTAAATTTGTTCGGGTAGACTCGGATCCGGATCCGGGACCCGCCGGATCCGGATCCGGAACATAGAATAAAAGACCCGTCGGGTAAACGGGTCGGATCCGGATCCGGCATAGTAATTCGGGTCCGGGTCCGGGTCCGGAATAATGAATTCCGGCCCGGACCCGGCCCGTTGACAGCCCTATTTATCATTATAAAAAATGTTTGTGAACTTGATCAATAATTTTCAATGCCTAACCCTATCTCACCTAACTAAAAAGTAAAGATTATTGGGGCCAAAGAGTCTTCCATCAAGACTTTTAACTTTTTTTTTCACTTTTTGATTGTTCAATTGATTGTTATGCATGCACCAACCATTTTGAAATGATTTCCTTGCGTGTCTCCACGCTCTAGTTCTAACTGGACTGCGTCATATGCCAACCAATAAATATGTGAATCCTGCTATCATATTTTGTCCATCCACTGTCGGTCCTTTGGTATTTAAACGAAGGGCAAAAAAGAAAACAAAAATGAATTCTTTTACCTATGTGCCAGATGAGTGGCATGCATTAACAAAATATACCGATTATCACATATACGCTTAGTTGATATAGATCAATAACTTTTTAATAAAAAATTGTGTGTTAAAATTTCAGTTTTTATGTAATAAATACATTGGTGGATAAAGCCTAAATATCTTTATAAATAATCTATGATATGATTTTAGGATTGCGCCTTGACTTGACTGCCGATGGTAATTGAAACCAAAATCATTCAAACATTTTGAAATCCGAAAAAATAATCAATCTTGCAATTAATTATTGCTGATATCAGAGGCATGATTGCCGACTAAGGAAATTAAATAAGGTCTTACGTGTTGCACCACGATTAGATTTATTTTATTTTATTTTTTTAGGAGATAGGGATTTGGGGAAGGGAAGCGTGGGGTTTCCGTTCAATCAAATAGCCTAGTCTTAGCTATTATTAGAGAATTTGGGCTTGATGAGATGTAATTCATTATTTGGTTTATTACTTCTCCCAATGTGATTTTTTTAATTTTTTGGTGGGCATCCATCCCTTCATTCCTGGGACATTTTAGGCAGTGACATTGCCACCGCTCTAATTTTGATGGCACATAAGACTTTTTATTTAAATGACAAATTTGTCCTTAAGAGTCGATATTAGAATTTGACAAGTTTTGCATGGGACCCACACGCATCAGCCCGTTCGGAGTCACCGCTTGTCATCTCCCATATAAAAATAAAAGATTCGAAACATGCTGTTTTATAATTTTATTAGGGTCCAAATAAGATGGTTCATAACTCACGGGGGTAAACTGTAAATTAATGTTTGATTACGACTGAATATAAGGACAATATTGGTTGTTGAAACATTACCCCGTTTGAAAGGTGAGTTTTTTGGAAATTTGTCTAAAACTTTACTGTAGCGCACTGTAGAAGTTTTTAAAAAAAATTTTGAAGTGTGTAAATTTTTGAATATTTTGAAATGTATAATTTAAAATTTTTGAGGTTATTGTATTTAAAATTTTTAAAAAACTTGTAACAAAAAAACTTGCCAAAAAACTTGGGTTCCAAACAGGGCAATATTGTCTAATAGTTCAGTTCAATGAGGGAAAAAAAACATATTGTCTAATAGTCAAACATAATTTTGATTGACAGAAAGACAAAGTACTTCAAAAATAACATCAGAACACAAAGTGCAAATCTATCCAAACATCAAGGGATTTATTGCTAGTAACCCTTTCAAATAATATGCTATGCGAGAACGATGAATAGGAGAAAGTATCTAAGTTATGTAACACAAGCAACCATGAGGCTACGATGAATGGTAAAGAAAAGTACTCACTGTGTAAAAAAAATCAAGAAAAAAAATAGAGGATACGAAAAACTCATGAATAAGAAAGGCAAATACTTTTGCTTAACTATAATTCTATCAAATACCTCCCTTGGGGTATACCATTTAAAAATTTCCTTTAGTCCTCTTGGGACTAAAAGGTTAGTTAAACAGAAAATTTAACAAATATTTCCTTTGTCTCAAATTGAGAGTCATTTTTCAAAACTTTAACTTTTTATCTATAATAGTAAAAGGTTATTGTCGAGATATTCTTTTTCAACTTCTGTCTTTGCATAAAGTTGTATTTTGGTTATTTGGATTTGACAAAATGATGATTGGGTCATCCAAATTAAATGTTCCAAGATAGAAACTTCAAACTACCTTTGGATTAGTTGGAATTACGCACCACTATCCATCAAATAATTTAGTGTTTATTATTATGCGCTCACCAAGTTATTGATTGGAAATATCTTTAATGGGTCCCATGAAAATTGTTTTTATCTTTTTTAAGATGTCATTTTTATTTGATAAGTTTTTTAAGATGTCATTGAAGGATAACTTTTGAGAATGTGAAAGAAAGAAGTACAATGTGGCTCAACTTTTGAGTTGACCAAAAAAGGTGAATTATGGGATGTTGCTGCAGTATGTTTACTAGTCAAAAAATAGGTGTGGAAAGTTGCTGCGGTATGATTGTGGCCACAAACAATAGGAAAAGTGTATTGGATGGACACGTGTAAAGAACTTTTTGACTTGCAACTTGAAGATAGTTGGGCATTGAAGGGGATTCCAACCGTAAATGTGAAATGTGGAGTGCCTAAATTGAGCAACTGGCAAAGTGAGAGGGTCTTGCGTAAAAGTAAGGACAAGGAAAAAAGGCGCGAAGCTTGGCGGAGAAACTAAACACTGTAGGCATATAAAATGAAGAATTTAATAAATTTAGACATTAAATTTATAATGAATAAATTATGGATTCCAACCTCAGGTGTTAAATTTATAATGAATAAATTATTACTTTATTTTAAATAAAACCCGTAAACCTGGTTTGTTAAATTATACCTATTATTATTTATTATACAGGTATATTATGAGTACTTATTAACTAAGGTACTAAGTTTTAATCATTAATAAAATATCTTATCATTATTTCAAATAAACTTCCTAATACTACTTTGAGATAAGGTTTTAATGTAAAAATTGTACATGTATTCCAAAAAATAGTAAATTTTGATCCTTAATCATTTTTATTACCATGTTATTAGTAAGAATTATTATTTATGTATAAAAACTTACTATTATTTGAACTAAACTTACTCTTTTAAAAGTAAGCTTGGGATATAAAGTAGTAATCTATTTATTTAAAAATTAAGTTTAATATTTATTCCAATTTACCTTTTGAGGTATAAAAGTTACTAATCTATTAGGCTTAACTTACTATTTTAGATGGGAAACTTACTTCCATAATTTTAGGTATTATTCAATTTAAGTGAATAGGTCCAACGACAAATCAAATGTTCGCTAAAAGTGTAACAATCTGTTATATTAGGTAAAAACTATTTCGCTATCATAACTATCGTTACTAAAGCATCTATATCTATATGTATTACAGAGGGGGTTTTGGATAAGGAGCTTTCAAAATTGTCAAAAGTCTGAATGCTATTTTAATAGAATTTTACATTTTTATAATTGAGAAATGTTTATCTCTTAACTAATCATGTAACCGCTCCTACAAATCCTATAATCATGCTCATGTTTTTCCCACATTTTTCCACATTTTTCTCACTAACCCATAAAATTCAAACTCCTAAACTTTAACTAATAGATAATAATCACCATTGTAAAATTCACATCTCACATTTATTATTGACATTTATCAACTATTAATTTAAGAAATTTGCAACTATAAAAGTCAAATATTCAAAATTTAGGAGACTATTTAAATTACAATTTTCACAATTCAACGTATCTTATTGTCATAATATATTTTACTCTCACAATCATTCACAAATTATAAAGGGATGCAAAAAATAAATAACTTTTTTAATAAAAAATTAATTCAAAGGTAGTTAATTCACACACACACACACACATATACATATATATATTCTCATAATATAAACTAAACTTATAAAAAAATTAGGAGGCTAACTTTGTTTTACACAATATGAATTAAAATTTTTAAAACTTTGGGAAGAGGGGACCTATGGCCCCTATTAGCTCCCTATTTGTTTCGAAGTGTTTGGATAGCATATTTTTTCAAATAATATTTCGCTTGCATCATAAACACATTTTTTAACTCACCTTTTTATATTTTCAATCACCTTTTTATCTTACATACATCATATCACAAAATGTACTATCGCAATTATTCCAAATAATATTTCAAATAACACTCTATCCAAACAAATTTCAATAGCAACTTAATTTCAATATCATTTTTACTTTTCAAATTTATAGTTTTATCCGTGATTGTATAGCATTATGATATAGTAGTAATACAAAAGAAATACCATGTAAATGATGATAGTTTTTTTTCAAATAAACAAAGTGGTGTACGAATATTCCTATCTAGCGAGCAAAATGGTAGTTAGGATATTTTAAAATCTTGCTACACAAACAACAAAAGTAAGGTATGTTAGTGATATTTTTAAAACTATAGGGGTGTCAGGCGAAATGAAGAGAAACCTCAGGGGAGGTTTACAACATTGGCTTACTGAATACACTTATTTATGCCAATTATACTCTTTATACTAATTATATTTTTAAACTAAATTACTATTTATGCATATTTTAAAACTTCAAATTTAATTGCTATTAGCGAAAGTATATTGATGTGTTTTTATACGAGTAGTATTTTATTATTTTGGATACTACTTTAATTAGAATTTAGTTTAAAGGCATTCACTGGAGTTTGGATGCATCCAGAGAGCACCGATCGATGTATCTTCATGCATAAATTGGAATAAATATGCAACTTAATTTTTTTAAAAAATAATTCACTACTCTATATCCGAAATTTACTTTTTGGAGAGTATGTTTAGTTCATACTATTTTTCGTAGTATTTTAAAATATATAAGTACAAAAAAATTTTAAATTATACCTATAATCATGTATTATACGAGTATATTATGAATACTTACTAACTAAGGTATTAAGCTTTAATCATTGATAAAACATCTTATCGTTATTTCAAATAAACTTCCTAATACTAGTTTGAGATAAGTTTTAAAGTAAAATAGTACATGTGTCCCATAATATAATAATTAAAAAAATTACTTTACATGGGGGAGTGAAGTGAAAAAATGGGAGTATAATAATATCCTTTAATTGTTTATTCCATAAATATCCCTTATACATGTATGTTAGTTGAATTTGTTTAATAATGGAAATAATTTTGGTGTAATGGGCCATTTTTTTGTGCAGTTGGAGCATATTTGGCCTGAATAAAGCTATTTCTAAGATTTTGCTTGAATACCTAAATTATTTGTGCTGTTGGCAGATTTACCTTTAATATAATAATAATAGTAATAGAATTACTATTATTATTCGCTAGCAAAGCACAACATTATTTCCTTTCCCTTCTATATTCTCTGTTCATGTAGCACTTCCCCACGACATTTCTCTACTTTTCATTGCTCTTTTATTAACAATGTTAATCCAAATGGATACGTGATTTTATTAATTTCAAATGGATAGCTGAATAAAACCAATTAATTAGTGGCTATTAAATGGACAAATTTCGACTACCTATTTATAATTAATTCAATTAGACGTAAATTCAAATTCATTAGTAAGCAAATGAATTTGAATTCGTATACACAATAATTATATCAAAGTTTTTGCAAAGCCATATCTATCCAGTGTTTCCTATTCTTTAATTTTCATTTATTAAAAGTTTTGGAAACAAAATTGGTTTTCATTTATTAAAAGTTTTGGAAACAAAATTGATTACAGTAAAACAAACTGCCAACTATTTATTAAACACTCATGTGAAAGTAATTTAAAAATTGGTTACCTTTGTCTGCCTGACATTTAAACCAATTTTTTTATCATAATTTTTTATTATTATCACACCCATTCGGTGTGTCATAACCAGTGCTCAGAATAATCTCTGGAGTTTTAAGAACCATTATACAACTTTCAAAACAAACAAATTCATTCAAAATTTTTATTTGGAATAATTTCATAAATCAAATCGCGGTCACTTTCTGTAAAGTATCACTTTTTCATAAAAGACCATCTCTTTATGGCTTTCATCCATTATAAGAACAGAGTACCCATTTTTTCATAAATAAATTTATTTATCAGATAAAATAAAAAATAAACTTATTTTTCATTTCAATAAAACACCAGCTCTTTATGACATTCCTCTATTATAAGAACAGAGTACCCTTTTTTCATAAACAAATTTATTTATCGAATAAAATAAAAATAAATTCATTTTTTAATAAAAGATCAACTCTTTATGGCTTTCCTCCATTATAAAAACAGAGTACCCATTTTTTCATAAATAAATTTATTTATCGGATAAAATAAAAAATAAACTTGTTTTTCAATAAAACACCAGCTCTTTATGACTTTCCTCTATTATAAGAACAGAGTACCCTTTTTTTCATAAACAAATTTATTTATCGAATAAAATAAAAATAAATTCATTTTTTAATAAAAGACCAACTCTTTATGGCTTTCCTCCATTATAAAAACATAGTACAACCCGTTTTTCAACAAAACACCAACTCTTTATGACTTTTCTCCATTATAAGAACAGAGTATCCATTTTTTAATAAATAAATTTATTTATCAGATAAAAAATAAATTTATTTTTTAATAAAAAACCAGTTTTTTATGGCTTTCCTCCATTATAAGAACAGAGTACCCATTTTCTCATAAACAAAATTATTTATCGGATAAAATAAAAATAAATCCATTTTTCAATAAAATACCAACTCTTTATGACTTTCCTTCATTATAAGAACAGAGTACCCATTTTTTCATAAATAAATTTATTTATCGGATTAAATAAAAATAAATCCGTTCTTCAATAAAACATCAGTTCTTTAATAAAACACCAGTTAGCGACAACAACTTTAGCAAGAAGTAGAAAGGTTGACGCTATTAAGAGGCTTATAGCAAGGAAAAGGACAATACTTCACCAAAAATTGGAGCCATCATATACCTTGCGAGGGCGGGGCAAGGAATTTTTTCGGTTAAAATTCTCGCCAAAAGGAGCGCGGGAAAGCTTCCCTCCAAATACTGATTATAGTGGCCCAAAGTTTCTATGTTATTGGTGAGAAATCATGGGTGCTTTTTTGTGAAAATTTCAAAATTTTACTCCCTTCAAATTTTTAGCAGAGTTGCGTATTGAAAATTTTTTAACCATTCCCGGCACAGCACTTGTCAAGCCTAGCATCACATGAATTCCAAGCCTTCCATACTTGCAAGTCTACTTTCCCAAATATTGTTCTCAAATCAGAGCCCTCGAAAGTTCAATCGCAACCTTCCTGCACCTTTCTCCTTCTATGTCTCTTTCCCTCTCTATCAATTTTCAGTTTCCCGTAGACATATGGTTCCCCTCTTCCTCTCTAGCATCCATATCTGAATTTATACAATCATGGACACACTTTAAAGACCCTTTCGATGCAATGGCAGACTTCAAGGAAAAGCGATGGTGTAGGTTTTTTAATATGTTATTTTCATCTCTGTTTTGTCAATTGCTTTTTTCTTGCATTTTTGGTCAATTTAACAATTGCAAGATAAACTTTTTGAAATTGTAGGCTTCTACTTCAGTGGATTAGAGTGAATGGGCATCTCAGTTGGAGTAGAGAAATGGGTCTTACTGGAAGGCAAAATGAAACGACCCGTCAAAATTGGATCTTGAACATCTATCACTTTTTAGGAGTTTGTGTGAATTTTGGGTTTTTTTTCCTGGTTTTATTCTATGTGGTTTTGTCTGTATGATTGGAAAGTTCAATTTCTGATGTACTTTCGGGGGGGTTTGACTGTAGCAGCAGGGAAGTGGGGAAGTGGGTGCCTTTCCGGTGGCACCGCCGGCTCAGTATAACCCATTAGACGAGCCGAGTCCATTGGGATTGAGGCTGAGGAAAAGTCCTTCCCTTTTGGAATTGATCCAAATGAGGCTTTCTCAAGCTAATTCACCTAAGGGTGCAAGTTCCAGTAAAAAAGAGCTTAAAGGGGCCGCGGCTTCTGGTTCCTCGAAGAAGCTCAAGGCTTCAAATTTTCCAGCAACTATTCTGCGAATTGGGACCTGGGAGGTATATTTATACATTTGCATTTGATCATGGATTTTAGAAACTTGTTTTATTGGATTGCTTATGATTTTGTTAATTTTGATTGCATGTCTTTGTTCTAATTTCTAGTATAAGTCAAGATATGAAGGGGATTTGGTAGCAAAGTGTTATTTTGCAAAGCATAAGCTTGTATGGGAGGTTCTTGATGGCGGGCTCAAGAATAAGATTGAAATTCAATGGTCTGATATAATGGCTTTGAAGGCGAATTCCTGATGACGGATCGGGGACTTTGGATGTAGTGGTATTAGCAACACTTACTGTGTCTTTGTTAATTACTTTGTATGTCGTTATTATGAACTTTTTATAGTGAAAACATGTTTTTTTTTTAATGGTGTAGCTTGCAAGACAACCTCTTTTCTTTAGGGAGACAAATCCACAGCCCAGGAAGCATACCCTGTGGCAGGCAACATCTGATTTTACTGGGGGTCAGGCCAGCATACAAAGGTATGGTAATCTCTCATTCATTCACGAGTTTATTGTGTTGCCATTTTTAAATGGCACTTTTTAGGCAACAAGCTACTTGTTCCATACTGTATGTGTCCTATTTGTTTATTTATGTAGCAAGGATTTTTTGTTCTCCACCCCCACATTTTGATTTGTACCATTTGAGTTACTTCATCAATTTGTTATTTCTTAGGTGGTTCTTTGACTTTCTCAGTAACATCTCAGCATTATGTAGATAGCGATTTGTTATCACCACAGCTATACTGCCTTGACCGCAGATGTATCTGAATAATAGTCTGCATACACCTCTCTTCTCTGATGTTGACTTCCAAGTTCCTATCTTACGAGCTTTTAGAGCGAAATGCTGACTTTTATGAGTATCAGCGACTCACGACTGAATTTCAATTGTTGGACTTACTCTATTCTAGCCTTCTGTGCTTTTAGCATTTCTCCCTTTATCACCAAAGAGATGATTTTTTTTTATTGGGTGGGGGAGAAGAAACAGGGGAGAGGGGTAATCCCGAATTGGACATTTGAAATATATTTGGTAGCTTTTTGATACTAAAGGTATTAAGAGATGAGAGATGCTCTAAATTTTTTTTTTTTAAGTGACAATTTTTTCTTTTCGTTGTTTCGCTCAATCTTTGGAGACTAACAGCAATGGTCTAACTCACCGTTGATTGGCATTTTTTCTGGGATTTCTAGCAGGCGTCATTTTCTGCAGTGTCCACAAGGCTTGCTGGGAAAGCATTTCGAAAAGCTTATTCAATGTGATCCTCGTCTTAACTTCCTGAGTAAACAAGGAGAGATAACGTTGGATTCTCCATATTTTGAACCCAGAATCTCTGTGTTTGATGACCCAAGTGAAAACAAAGCTGCATTTGATTTGAACAATCATGAGAGTCCCACTTTCTTCAACCTGAGGGATGCAGCATCGCCATCAGGTGGTCAATCATCATCTTCGAGGAATGAACAAGACACTGTTAGTAGACCTCGAGAATCTATTAGACATGAAACACCATCACCCAGCTCAGGTAACCGGTCCTTTTAATAGTCTTGAACCAAAATTTGATATTCACTAAAAGTTTCTGACCAACAGAAATGTAAAATGTCATTTTCATTTGATTTATAATCTGTACAGAGTATTTCTTTTCCTCCAAGGAGGTTTATATATGTAGTCGCGTCTCTCTAGTAGTATTTGACTCTGTGTTTTGGTTTATTCAGTAATGGATACGCATGTAATTGAAGAAATAAAAAATGGTGGAGGAGAGCAAACATGACATGGCTATGAAGCTCTTACAAGCTACTTCGATTATGGACTTCGCCAATTAATGCAAACATGATACTCATTGTATATCGGCACAGGGTCTATCTTAGCATTTGTTATCCCTAGCAATTTTGGTTGTACATATTAAAGCCCAATTAGGATTTGATTTGAATATCTTTGTGCTTTGTACTGTTGATAGTATTGGTTGTAATATATTATTGCTCGTTTTGTATTTGTAATGACAAATTGGTTTGTTATTTCGTATACAAATTTTGCTATATCTCAATATTGACATTAATGATACCTCTTGCTAAAAAAATGGTTGAAAAAAAAATAGCAACTACAGTCACAAAGCTGCTTTTGGCAACTTTCTTGCAAGAAAATCATTTAGCTGCATTTGATCGTCTTTCGTAAGGGGTCGATGGTTTCCAATAAAACACCAACTCTTTGTAACTTTCCTCCATAAATTTTCTATTTTTCCTTTTTTCACTGAAGTAATTTATTACTTGGATAAAATCAGAAACTCCATTATAAGAAAAGGTTTGGAGGGAATAAGTTGTAAGCAATCCATGACAATTACCGCCTCTACACACATGTGAAGGAACAGGGGCCATGACAATTTGCTACATGTACCGTGCAAATTTTATCCCATTGAAAATCACATTGAGAGGTGGGCCACCATTTTGCTATATCTCAATATTGACATTAATGAGTTTATTTTTATTTTATCCGATAAACAAATTCCTTTTTGCCTTCAAAATGAGTACTCTGTTCTTATAATAGAGGAAAGTCATAAAGAGCTGATGTTTTTTTTGAAAAAACGGGTTTATTTTTATTTTATCTGATAAATAAATTTGTTTATGAAAAAATGGATACTCTGTTCTTAAAATGAAAGAAAGTCATAAAGAGCTGGTCTTTTATTAAAAAATGGGTTTATTTTTATTTTATCCGATAAATAAATTTATTTATGGAAAAATGGGTACTCTATTCATATAATGGAGGAAAGTTATAAAGAGTTGGTCTTTTTTTGAAAAATAGATTTATTTTTATTTTATCTGATAAATAAATTTATTTATGAGAAAATGGGTACTCTGTTTTTATAATGGAGAAAAGCCATAAAGAGCTAGTCTTTTATTAGAAAATGAATTTATTTTTATTTTATTCGATAAATAAATTTAATTATGAAAAAATAGGTACTCTGTTCTTATAATGGAGAAAAGCCATAAACAGCTAGTCTTTTATGGGAAAGTGATACTTTACGGAAAGTGACCACGATTTGGTTTATGAAATAATCCCAAATAAAAATTTAGAATGAATTTATTTGTTTTGAAAGTTGTATAACGGTCATTAAAACTCCAGAGATTGGCAAAAAAATTTTAGGGTTACAGAAAAGCAAAGAGAAGAAGGAGAAGAATTGAGCTTTTTATCCGTTGCAATTGTTCCGTTAAAAATGGCTCCATTCAGTTTTATCAATTTTTTGTTGAGTAAAATCATTGTTCTAACGATCAATTCTTCATTACTCGTTAATTGTCCTTAATTGGCCAAAATTACGAAATTTTGAGGATGCAATATGTTTGGGGTGAAACTTTGAGGATGAAATTGATCAACCACCCAAATTTTGAGGATAAAAAAGTGCATTTTTTTCCTATAAGATATTTAATCAAATGTTATTTCTTGTTTTAATTTTAGTTATGACTAAACTACATATTTATCAAATAGACATACCTTTATAATTAAAGTTAATATTTGATATTTTAGGATACCATATATTTAAGTAGATGAAAATTATTTTGAACATAATATATTAAAATAATTTTATTTGTCAATCATTTTGGCCCTCCCTCAAAGTAAAAAAATCTTGGCTTCGTCACTGTCTAGGAGGAAATTGGGGCCTATTGCTAACAAAAAATTGTGAAAATTTACCTTTATATCCTAATTATTTGAAAAAAAATCTAATGAACAAATTTTGCAAAAGAAACCTTGTTTCTTACCAACAAATTAAGTAACTAATAAAATCACCTTTAATATTGCTTTAACATATTTAATTTATGTTAAATACAAATTTTACCAATTTCTCTTTTGTAAAAATATAAGTGTATCACTTTTTCAATTTTAATTACAAACATTTATGTTTTTTACATAAATGTAGTGATTCAGAGTAAAATGCCCATAAATAGCTAGTATTTTGTTGATGTAATGCAAAAAAATCCATAAAGAGTTGGTATGTTATGGGCAAAACTTTTTTACTTTCAAATATTTAAAATTTATTAAATACAAAATTTACTAGTTTCCCTTTCGTAAAAATATTAGTGTAACACTTTATATGTGAAAGTAAAAAAGATTGCGCCCATAACTTCTGCAGTACGCTACATTCACATTTCTAAACCGCGGTTATAGGTCATCACTTACTTTTTTAGAAACATTCCCTTCATCTCCGTACATGTCAGGTTGCTACGTCCCAGCTTCTTTGCCATATAATTTACTTTCCATACCTGTCTTTGGAATATGTGAATACACTACAGAATTTACCTGAATTATGAATGGATGTTGCTGCGGTATGTTTAGTAGTCAAAGAAGAGGTGTGGAAAGTAAAGCATATGGCAAAGAAGGTGGCACGTTGCAACCTGACATGTATGGACCAAGAAGGGAATATTTGTACAAAAGCAAGTGGAGACCTATAACCGGGGTTTGGAAATATTGTGTACTGCATAAGCTCAAAATGTGTTAGGATGTCACGGAATTAACATAAATATAAAGGGCCTAAGAATAAAACATTTGTGAGGAAACGTAAGCAGTACTAATTACTAAACAAAGCCATCCTAGGGCCACCGATTATGGGCATTACATCAACAAAATTCTATCTATTTATGGGCATTTTACTCTGAATCATTACATTTATGTAAAATACATAAATATTTTGGATAGCACGGATATTCACACTAGCCGTCCTTGTACTAAGTTTTATGGCCATTTTACTCTGAATCATTACATTTGGATACTACTTTGATTAGAATTTAGTTTAAAGACATTCACTGGAGTTTGGACGCATCCAGAGAGCACCGATCGATGTATGTTCAAGTGTAAATTGAAATAAATATGCAACTTAAATTTTTTAAAAATAAATTACTACTGCATATCCGAAATTTACTTTTTGGAGAGTAGGTTTAGTTCATACTATTTTTCATAGTTGATGTGTGTACGGGTCAAAGCCCACGCAATGACTTACATGTTTCGAGTCCCATTGGGCCCAGTCACGCATGCATGGGCCAAGCTATTCAAAGAATCATTCGAAGTTCTGGTTAGAGTTGTCCAAGACCAACATGGAGTTCACAAAGATATTGAGAGCTTGGAGAGAGACAATCGAGCCATTTACACCATGATCCAAACCCACGAAGAGTCAAGCGGGCCACCAAGAGAATAAGGCCTTAGGCCCATCAATTAGTTAGTAATTAGTTAATGATTAAGTAAGAGCATGGGCCGGCCCATCTTGTTCCAAGAGCATGGGCCGACTTTTTCCTTTTCCTAGCCCCATTTAGGGTTTTAGTCACTTTAGCCTATAAATAGGCTTGCTTTGTAAGGTTTAAGGGTGAGAACTTTTATCAATAAAATTGCCTTATTTTCGTTTCTTCTTCTAAGAAGAGTGTTCGAGCCTTTTAATTGCTTTGGCAAGGGTTTTGAGCAATCTTGCGTCTCGTCCTAGATTGTTTTACCGACCTATCCCGTAGAGTAGTCACTTTCATTGGAGTCGTCGTACTATCGTCTTGAATCCAATCGTGTCGTCCGTTTGGTTCTAGATCCCGCAATGCCAAGCGTTGGACATCCTCGCTAGATCCTTGGGCAAACGTGCTACGTGTCTCGAAACAAGTTGATCGAGGAACGTATCAGTTGGCTTCAGAGCTTTGGTAGAGGTATCTTTCGTTATATCCATATTTTTCGTAATTGTGTCGTAGAATTCTTAGTACTTTCCGCTGCCTTGTTCAAAAAATAATAATAATAATAATTACTGTTCACCGACACTGTTCACGACACTGTTCATCCGAATACAAATCTGTCCAGCCTTGTTGTTTGTGTTATCCAACTTGTTTACTTGGTTTTCAAATCTGGATTTTGGCAAAACTTGTTGGAATTTTGTGAATCTTGAAGAGAACTTACAATAATCTTGAGCTTCTTGAATTCTTGACCACAATCTTGAAATTTCTGAAGTTCCTGAACTTCCTTGAAAGTTCTTGAAAGATCTTGGAGTTCTTGGTAGTTGTTATTTGTGGACTTCCTTGTTTTGTGTCGTGGTTGATAGTTGTAGTCAAGAAAAAAAAATAAAAAACAAAAACGAAAAAAAAGAAAGAAAAGAGGAATCGGTTGGCAAGAGAAAAAAAAAAGGAAAGGAAAGAAAGGGGCAACCGAATTGTTTTGAATAGGGAACCAAATCTGATTTGTGCAATCTTTCTTGGAGTAGAATTTGGAAGTTACCAAAAGTTGTTTCAAGAAGATTACCAAAAGTTGTTTCAAGAAAGTTACCAAAAGTTGTTCAAGAGGAAAAGGATTTTCAAAAGGTTTCCAAAAATTAACTTGTTTCCAAAATCAATTAGGAAACTAAGTAAAGCACTTGGATAACTCTTTGTACTCAGTTGGACACTCTCTCTCCTACCTTTTTAAGAAACTTTCCCAAACTCTCTCATCCATTTTTTTTGGAAACTTTCCTAAATTCTCTCATCCATTTTTTAGGAAACTTTCCTAAACTCTCTCATCCATTTTTTTTGGAAACTTTCCTAAAGTCTCTCATCTATTTTTAGGAAACTTTGCTAAATTCTCTCATCCATTTTTTGGAAACTTTTCTAAATTCTCTCATCCATTTTTTGGAAATTTTCCTAAGCTCTCTCATCCATTTTTTTTGGAAACTTTCCTAAATTCTCTCATCCATTTTTAGGAAACTTTCCTAAATTCTCTCATCCATTTTTTTTGGAAACTTTCCTAAATTCTCTCATCCATTTTTAGGAAACTTTCCTAAATTCTCTCATCCATTTTTTTGGAAACTTTCTTAAACTCTCTCATCCATTTTTTTTTGGAAACTTTCCTAAATTCTCTCATCCATTTTTAGAAAATTTTCCTAAAACTCTCTCATCCATTTTTTGGAAACTTTTCTAAATTCTCTCATCCATTTTTAGGACCTTTCCTATATTCTCTCATCCACTTTAGGAAACTCTCCTATATTCTCTCATCTACTTTAGGAAACTCTCCTATATTCTTTTCCTAGATTTTAGGAACAC